AGATAGATAGATAGATAGATAGATAGATAGATAGATAGATAGATAGATAGATAGATAGATAGAGAGATAGATAGATAGAGAGAGAGAGAGAGAGAGATTAGGTGGATAGATAATATGAAAATCTATACACTCAACTATGTTACTTTTCAATTGTTATTAGGTCCAGTTGAAATATCTTCTTTGAAAACATTTATTGTCAGTAATTACTGAATTTGAGACATTTAAGTCCATTTATCTTGAAATAGTTATTTGCAACATAAGGGACACATTAAATAGAAAAATATACATTATCAACTATCACTAATGTTAAGAAACTGAAGTATAATAGTTTATTAAAAAATTTTGAAATGGTCCCAATTTTTAATTTTTTTTAAAAAATACTTTTGTTGAGTAAACCGTTTTCAATATTTAGCAAATGACATTCCTACCTGCCCATAGTTGGCATATTAATATTTTCTAATTGAGCTTTCACGCAAAATTTTCCCAAAACTAGATTACTAAATTCAAAATCAAAGTCATTAAGAAAAAAAAACAGATTAATTGCACTTTAGTGCAACTAAATCATTAAACTGTATGAAACTTTTTTTTCTCTAAACAGTAAACAATTATTAAACGTGCAATAGCACCTCAAACAACAAATTAATTTTTGCTCTTTCCTCAGATTATATAGCTTAGAGAAATAACAAAGCATTTCTTCTTAACAGAGCCACGAAATTTTTCCCATTTATTTAAATAATTTCATTACCCAGTGGATAAATTCAGCAATAAGTCATCATTATAAGAAAGCTGGTATTTTTCCAAAACTTAAAATAAGAACGTGAGCCCGATAAATAAATCTTGGCTTTTGTTGTTTATTATGCTTTTTTTTCCTTTTCTAAAACTGGAGGAATGAAATATCTTTCGAATAATCTTCCAGCATTTTCAATAAAACTATCTTAGAATCTTTAGAATTCACTATCGTCTCAAGAAATAAAATTGAGTTGATTTTATATGATTGAAAATGCGTAGAATAAATTCGGGGGGATATGAAGAATGAATTTTATTTTCATCCTCACAATAATGTCAAATTTAATATTCTATGAAAAGAAGTTAAATTTAATTTCTTTCAATGACGCTGTGACACTAATACAGATTCATAGTAATAAGAATAAAATCTCTGTATAAGAAATACATATCATTGTTAATAATAAAAATAATACCGAAATGTTTTGAGTTAACATTTTATTTTTCCTTTTTATTAAAGTAAAGATTAAAATTCTCAATCATCGTTCAAATGTGAAGTATTTTTAGGAGAACTTAATTATTTCTTCATTATTCTGTAAAAAAGATTTATGAGATTTTTGTAAATGCAATTTTTTGTTTCACAGAAAAATAATATAAGCTCATATTTACAGAATTCTCCATAACTATATTTAAGACAAGCGGTAAAAGTGGGGCCACAGTGGTTGTTTGTTTTTTGCTGTATGGATTGCAAAAGCACATTTTTTAAATTGTGGATAAGTCAGAAAATAAAAATGAAATGTGTCGTGTTGACCATTGATGCATTATTTTTCTTTAAAAATCTGAACTGGAACTTTTAGAGTAATGCATTTCTAATAATTTGTTAACAAAGTGTCTTGAAGCATTTTTTTTTTCAAATTGTGGACCACAAGTTTTTACAGTGGGTCATTTATTTAGAGTTATTCATTGAAGAGTTTTCTTTTAAAAAACAATTTATAGATTCTTTGTTTTTGAAAGATATATTTTCAATCATTTGAGCTATTTGATTTGTAGAAGCATTTTACTTCTACAGTGTTCTTTTTTGGAATGTCTACTTTTATAATTATGGCTTAATTTCTAGATAAAGGGCCTCATCTTACAAAGTATTTTAATATGACAATTTTAAAAAAATTGTTTGCGAAAATTTCTGACATTAAAACATTTTTTTAAATTGCGGATCAAAATATTTAGATTAAAGAAAGAAAGAAACATTTGTAATTAAAAGTTTTATCTACTTTTAAGAATTTTATCATATTTATTTAGAATAAAATTTCGTTTTTTATATAAATTTTTTGAAGCATGTGTTTTTAAAGGCTAACTAAAGCTACTTACAGTACGAAAAAAGAAAACACCTCACTCACGTTTGATCTAATTTACGGAAAATGGTCACAATAATTTAGAACGGAGAACAGCTGAACATTTTTCATCAATGTTAATTTAATTTCTTTGCAAATTTTGCCACCTTAAAATTGCGCATTGAATTTTAAACGTTCGATCCATAAAATTGAGTCAGAGTACGCGAAAAGGTAATCATTAGATCATAAGTTATTAAGGTATTACCACATTTTTTTTCACATTGCACATGAATGTTTTAATTTCCCCTTTTCTTCTTTTATTTTACCTTAAGTAAAAATTCATGGTTTATACAAAACTGCAGAAGTGAGTGTTACCTAAATTTAAAGAAAGTAAAATAATTGAACATATGTCAGAGTTAATATTGAAATTTCAAACCAGTTCTAAGCAAAAATATAAAAGCCAGTCTTGACTTGTCATATATTATTCGAAACATGGAAACTTGAAATTTTAAATAGTAAGTATTTTATTTTAAGTTTTTCCCCTTTTTTGATATAAAATATTTAACAATAAAAAATATTTTATAATTGCATATTTCTTATCGTTTCTTACGATAAAATACCTTTTGAATAAAACCAAGATAAATCAAATATTTTTTTTAAAAAAATAATATTCCATTAATGTAATAGTTAATGTAGCTTTTTATAATATCAAGCAAATATTTATGCCTGATAGCAAACTTTCATAACAAAAAATATAGTAGTAAAATGCTTACAAAACAAAG